GAAGGATATAGACACTGAATTTGGAAAACTTGATGGCACAGAACTTCCATAAATTTATTTTTGTAGGGCACGTGACTGGACAGGTACTGAAGATCTGAATTGTTTAATTTATACTGTAGATATGTTCATCCACATAAACAGTCAAAACTAAAGCTTTAATTCTTTTTAGTGTCTTTGGGACAATATTATATCTACTGAAGAACTGATTTTGGAATCAAGAAATCACAGTAGGGTACCTAATAGATTATAAAACTTCTCATACATAGATACTACCTATGGTTTAAAAAATAAAAAAATACTAAACCTGACTGTCTGATTTCAAAATCTTTAACCAGGGCCTGAACTCTCTGCAGACCAAGATATGCTTCAGAAAAGCCAAGAGCACACAATGGAAGTTTGTGCTGCTATATCTCTGCTTTCTATTTCATCATTACTTGGCACTAAAAATGTTTTGGTTCTTAATCACACATTGTCAATGACATTTATAGAAATCCAGGGGGAATACCCGGTTTAGGGTGGAAACAGAATTGGCAGCCACCATTTTCTTATTTTAATTTACATCAAGATATTTCCTCTCTTAAAGAAAAAGAAGGCTATTCTCCTAAAGGGGAGTAACAATAGTCAGGAAACTTGCAGAATATATTGAGGTTGCTGCCATTTCACAAAACAATACTGTTCATCATCCAGAGAGGTAATAAGTGAACTTGGTGAAGGGGGTGGAAGAGAAACTTGTTTGGGTAGCAACAGTAATGCTGTTTCAACACTGCAGCAAAAAAGTAGGGGTAGGGGAAGGACAACAATTCTAGAACTTCCTCTCATTCATACAAGATTATGCTTGAAAATATCTTTGCCTTTCTTACTCCTAGGAGGTGATAAGAAGGAATATGGGATAAAATAAAGCACCACTTGAAAGACTTACCCATTGATCACAACCAAACAATTTGGATGTCAGATTCATTACTAGGACGGTTTAGAGACTTTCATCATAAAAACCTTTAATTATTTTATGGTAATGAAAACAAAGCTAGCAACTGCAGCACTCCGTTTTGTCATGGCCAATCAACAACAGGAGTAGTTTGTTGAGTTCTGTAAAACAGACTTTGAGAAGACCATTGGAAAACTGAAGTAGAGTATAAGGAAGGACTCAGGAAAGTGAGAGAGGGGACTTGAAATATGTCTCTGTTGGAATGGTTGAAGGAACCAGTGAGAAAGAAAGACTTACGGAGTTTGATAGCTGTCTTCAGACACTTGAAGATGAGGAAAAAGTAATACATTTATTGGTTCTGATGTTAGAGCAAGGGCAAAAAATGTTGGCATAACAGCCAGGAAGATTTTGGCTTTGGAGATGCGAGAACTTCTATCTGTTCAAAACTGAGAGAGTTCAAGCATACCAACCAACAGACCAAACAAACAGAGTGCATTTCACTGGGTGGGTAATAAGGGGGTTGGGACACAGCCCAGAAGGCTGCTGGTAATCTAGCAGGCACTGATGCAAGCACTAAGGGGGCTTTTAGCATCATCCTTCAAGGGCAAGAATCTATGATAATAGGGATCATTTTTGAGCCATTATTCTCTAGTTATACATTAGGAAAATGAAGATCAGGAAAATTAAAGAACTTACAAAAATCATTCAGCTGGCAGGTTGTCATGGTTAGAATTCTTACCCAAAGTGGTAAATGCCTATGTTCCTAAGCACTAGGATTCTGGCACAAGAATCTTCATCAAGAGTGTTTAAACCCGTAGAATTTCTGAGAACAATGCTGGATTTAGAGAATAAATCTCCAGTCAGCCACCAAAAAAAAAAAAAAAAAAAAAAGGGGGGGGGGGAGAAAAAAATTAATTTTCTTTTTTTAAGCTGAACCTTTTGGTGAAAAAAAAACAAAAAAAAAAAAAAAAAAAAAGGGGGGGGGGGAGAAAAAAATTAATTTTCTTTTTTTAAGCTGAACCTTTTGGTGAAAAAAAAACAAAAAAAAAAAAAAAAAAAAAGGGGGGGGGGGAGAAAAAAATTAATTTTCTTTTTTTAAGCTGAACCTTTTGGTGAAAAAAAAACAAAAAAAAAAAAAAAAAAAAAAAAAGAGAGAGAGAGAGAATAAATCTACTTTCCTTTTCTAGAGCTGAACCTTGTGCTGAATAAAAACACAACAAAACAAAATAAATCACTCTTCTGTACAAACAAAGATGACTAGATAGAAGGAAAAGAAAGGGACTTTGGTTCTTAGACTCTTCCCCACTACTCCCTTCCTTTCACCTTGACCTCTAGGCCCAGTGAAACTGGTTTGTAAGAACAGTTCTGAACTTGGCATTTCTGTCATGGCTACTTACTAGGACTGTGTCAGAGGTCCACATTTGCCCAGGATCTATTCTATTCCTGGGGCTGGTTCTGACTCTGCTGATGAAGTCACTGCAAGATGACTTCAGAAGAACCAAACTGGCAGACCAGGAACCTAGACCAATTCCCATCCAGCCCATCGCAGCTGGATTCTGAGGAATAAGTGAGGGGAGAACACTCAGGCAAATGCATATTCTTTTCTGCTCCAAAGTGGGTTACGTCCCAAATGCCCGTTGGTTTCTCTTGGTGACCTGGACCTTATATGAACCTGTAGGACTGCATTTGACCAAGGTCCTGTCCTTTCCTCTGGGACCCCAACATGATTTCTTCTTGGCCTTCTAAGTACAAGGATACTTTCAGATGGTGCATATCTAGGTCCCGGTTAACACTTCAGGCACAGGAAATGGGTGTGAGAGGGAAATCAAAAAGGGGAAGAACACTTTAAACCCATTTTCTTGTTTTGATCAAAGCCCTCCAACCAAACCCCATTGCGGTGTTCTAAGGACTCCATTTTGTCTTCTACATAGCAGATCCCTTGAAGGGAACTAGGTTCATTCTGGGAACAGTGCCCTCTAGAGGTTAGTATGACCCATTGTCATATTTCAAGTTTTCCCCCAAGTTCTTCAGTCTCAGCTTCTTATTAAAACAAACAAGAGCTATTTTGTCTTAATACGCTATTGTCGTCAAAAGTTTGTGATTGATCTATGAACATCTGGACATGTTGCTCTACATATTCAGGGATTCCCTTACAATTATCCCAGCCAAGGGAATACTTTCCATGTCAGTTTTCCCCCTTGGTCCACCCAAAAACTCAAATTATATGATGCAGGGCTGAGATTAGGGTAAGACAAGGGAAGTTGGGTTATGCAAGTATAGGTTAGGACCCTGTCTTCGTTTAAAATTTTGATACTTTGTTCATTATGGATTTTTTTTTTTTTTTTTTTTTTTTTTTTTTTTTTTTTTTTTTTTTTTTTTTTTTTTTTTTGCATTAATATTGATTATTGAAGCTTTGGGTGCCCTGTTAAATTCTGCCTTAATTGCCTTACCCTGGTTCTGACCTATGACACTTGACCCCATTTAAGTCCACAGATATTAGATAGTCTGGTATTTTGAAAGAGCATTGGAACTCAGGAGAGATGGTTCTAAGTCTTAGCTCTGAATGTCACTAGCTGTGTGACTTTGGATGAGTCACCTACCCAGTTGTGACCCCAGGTGCTTCATGTGGAAAATACAGGTGACATCTGATTCTGAACTTTTACAATTTTGCCCTTGGGCTTTCCTAATTAGCTGAGAAACTCAAAGATGTCAAGACAATGTATTCTAGCTGTTGCAAATGAAAACAAAACCTCCCCAAACAAGACTATGGTCACTCCCTCATTCCTCTCACAGAAAAGAATGAATCTGAAATCACCAGTCTTTCTGATTCATTTAAGTATGGCAAAGTCTTCTTACCTTCCCCCCCCACCCCAGGAAATATTTTATTCAAATATTTCAGGTTTTGAGTGCAGCAGACTTGCATAATCATCCAGCCCTCTGAGATTTCTTCCCATCTAAAGATACTTGTACCACCCTAATGAGTCACATTTCATAAAATGTAACATCTGTGAGAGAAGGTTATAAACATCACAGTGCCCAAAACAGCTGTAGAACTTTAAAAGAAACAATCTCCACTTTCCAACTAGTTCTTCAAATTTAAGTTTGCATAATTGGAAAGCAGGAAGAGAGAGCATTGTACATATACCCCAAACCCCTTTTTCTTTTTTCATTTTGCCCTGAGAAAGAGAGAGATAGAGAGAGAAAGAGAGAAAGAGACAGTGAGAAAGGAAAGAGGAAGGGAGGGAGACAACGAAGGAGGGAAGGAAGGAAGGAAAAGATCCTGGTTCAATGTTAAAATAGATGACTAATATTTTAAGAGCTCTTTTCTTTGTTCTTAGCTTATTTTGTATTATGACATCTTTTCCATTTACTTACTCTCAGACCAGTGGTAGAAATTTGAGAACCATTTCCGAGACCTCGAGACTATATTGTTTTGCAAATTGTTTCTGGACACAAAGAGTATATAACAGTAACTGTATAGTAAATAATTTTAATTTACTTAATATCTTTTCTTCATATTTGATATTAATCAACTCGTCCCAGAAACAAAGGTCTGGTACTTGAGGGAAATGGAAGTGATCTTCTAAAAGTCAGTCATTAAGTATGGTGATTCATAAAAAGGATGGATGTCGGCACAAATCTGCACTATCCCTATGGTCTCAATACTTCAGATAACTCAAAAGCCAAGTGTGTCTCCAGGTACTCAAGTTCAAGAAAGTAATCAGAAAATATCTTGGCATCTATGCAAGTAATGCAATATGCCTTCACTGAAACAGAACACAAGAAGTTTATCTCTGAGGAGGAATTTAGAAGGCACTCATTAACAAAACACTTGATACAATAAAAATTTCTTCTAAAAAATTCTACATTTACAATAGGTTCCTATATCTTTTCTGCTCATCACAGTTTTTCTCTAACAAGGCAAAGTCAGACCATCCATCATAAGCCTAAAGCCTGACTCCTTGAAACCAGGCTTAATAACTTGTATGGTTACTTAAAGCAAAAATGCTTGGCAATCCTAAATTCATTTTTTAAACCACCAAAGAATAGTCATATTAATAGTAACCAAAGGTACCTTGAGTTGAAGACACTTCGATTTTGCTTGCACTCAAGATAACAAAGTTTTGAAGGTTCTGAAAAGAGAAAATCTTTGAATTATTTCTAAAAAACCCCCCCTAATTCCAACATACTAACCTGAAAAATGGGAATAAACAGCAGTCCTGAAGTTTCTTTAGAATTACCTTCTTTCATTTCAGAATTCACTTGTTAAGCAACACCTGCATTAAACTTTATGCCAGCTACAGTACAAAGCAAATCTTCTCCAACAGGTTTTCCTAGCTGATAATGTGCTTAGACAGCAATTATAAGCCCTAAATTATTTCTTAAAATGGATTTGGTAAGCCTACATTAAAGAGATATGTAATAGTGATTAATGGCTTATTCAGTGCCTTTTCACCATGAGAAGCAAGTCAATGTGCTATGCCCCAGCAGGGTCCCAATCGGTCCGAACCCGCGGCGGGAGCGCAGCAGCCTCCCGAGTGCGCCATGGGGTCGGCCCTAACTTTATATTTTATCCTTTTTCCATGCCATTAGGGACAGTTTGGTTTTAATGAAAATTCATCCAGGCACAAATGTATTAGATTTGGCTTGGATTCTCCGTCTTTTCCAAGCTGCCAGCTTGCACACCTCCTTTCAAAGTCCTTCTCCATGAAGTCTTCCCTTTTTAATATTAACTCCACCTTTATCCCAAGCCTTGACCCACCTCGTATAACTTCGTATACCCCCCCCATCGACCCCCACCCCCAGATTAGTGCCCTGTGGTGACCTGTTCTGTCATTTAAACATGTTAAATTTCTGCCCAAACACAAGCTTTCTCCTTCAACAGGAGTTCAATGTGAGTCAACAAAGGGATGTGACCGCTTAAAAAAAAAAAGTGAATTTGCCCTAGGCTGTATTAATAGAACTGGGGGAGTGTTTGTCCAACTCTACTTGAACTGGTCAGATTGCACCTGGGGGTATTGTGTTCTTTTCTGGGAATTATAGTTTAGGAGGAACAATGATAAATTGGAATATGTCCAGAGGAGAGGGAACAGGATGGAGGGAAAGTTCAAAACTATGTCATGTGAGGAGCATTGAATGAATGGATGGAAGCTTTTTATCCTGGAAAAGAAAGAACAGGGTAACATTTTTCAAATGCCCAAGGGCTGGCAGGCATGAGAGGGAACTGTTCTATCCCACCAGAGAGTAAATCAAGAATTTTAGGGAAGCTGATTTTTAGGTCAATGTAATCCAGAACTTCCTAAAGATTACAGTCGTTAAAATTGGCATTCATTCATTTAATACATATTTATTGAGCACCTAGTATATATTCTAGGCCCTGGAGAAACAGCAGTGAACAGAACCCACAGAGCTTTCATTCTTCTACAATGCTGTGTCAGAGGATGGTGCATTTGTCACACTTGGAGACATTTAATCAAGCAACCATAAATGCAGGAATTCAGGCATTAAACGTGACTGGACTTGATGTCTAAAGTTCTGTCAACCCTGAAACACTATAGTTCAGTTACTCCAATGCTACAGGTGATGCAGTCTGATAGGTGTCCTGGCTGCTATTCAGGATATATGGTTCTACTGTCTTTAAGAGGGATGGGTTGCTAGGCGGGGCAGAGAGGACGCTATGAAATTTCTTTCCTACGTGATATACATCGAAGTGAAACATCTTATGTACAATATTCACCCTCAAAGATCTGGTTGGCATTTCTATTACATTTATTCTTTTCCAACATGCCATTAGTGGTTGGGGAATTGGAATTCTCCCTTTACAAAACAATTTCCAGTCTTTCATCTCTTTGAGAGGAGGTTGAATCAGGGAGGCTAGAGATCATGGGCGTGTTAAAGTTGGATGAGATCCGTGCCCGCCTCCTCCTGCGAGGGGCTCAACTCACTCATGTCGGGCGCCCCCCAGCTCACCTCATCACAAAAGAAATCTGGGCTCTGCCGGTCTCCTTGGCCACGCCGGGCGACGCGCCTCCTCGGATGCGCCTCCCCTCAAAGCCGGTCCCGCCACCATCCCAGCCTGACCCCCGCCCCGCGCGGTCCCGCTCCCGTTACGGCCGACCCCCACATTCAGCCCCCACCCTGGTTCTTTCCTGCCACCAAACCCACCTCCTCTCTCCTAGATAACCCTCCTTTTGTGTCCCTCTATAGGCACGACTTTGCTCCGCTTGGCACAAACGCAGACTTCGGGCACTAATTACAAATCCTGCCCACAGCCCACTCCCCAAGTCCCACCTCCAGGGGAGGGTTAAAGGCTGGAGACCACTTCAACACCAATGGCCAATGACTAATCAATCACGCCTAAGTAATGAAGACTCCACAAACCCAAGAGCTTCCGGTCGGTGAACACGTGGAAGTCCTGGAATCATGGCGCCCGGAGAGGGCATGGAGGCTGCGCGCCCCTTCCCATATACCTGACCGGACTCATCTCTCCCACGAGGCAGTTCCTGAGTTCTATCCTTTGTGATAAACCGGTGATCTAGTAAGTAAACTGCCTTCCTGAGTTCTCCGAGCTGTCCTAGGAAACTATGGAACCTGAGGGGTGGTCACGGGAACCTCTGATTTATAACTGGTTTGTCAGAAGCTCAGGTGGCAATTTTTGGCTGGCATCTGAAGTCGGGTGGGGGCAGTCTTGTGGGACAGAGCCTTTGACCTGTGCGGTCCGTGCTATCTCTAGGTAGAATAAGAATTCAGTTACAGTCATGCATGGTTTAATGATGGGGATAGCTTCTGAAAAACGCGTCCTTAGGCGATTCTCTCCTTGTGCGAACATCATAGTGTGCTTCCACAAACCTAAATGGTTCACCCTTCTACACACCTAGGCTATACATGGCCTGTTTGTCCTCTGTGCAGTCCGGTCTGATCGCTGGCTTACTGTTAATTTGTAGGACACTCAGTGGATGTCCCCAGGAAATTGACTGGTGTAAGAAAAACTCCCTAATCTGGTGGCAGAAGTGAAGTATTGAGAATATCGTCAAAGTGCAGAAAGAAGTTTGTTTTTTCCAGTTTCCTATCTTCTTTCTATTTGTAATGTCCTTCTATTTCCTATTTTCTTATTTGTAGATATCACTGGTAGATACAACCCAACATAGATACCAAATCAGATAGGGTGGTGACACATACTATATAAATGTTGGATTATAGTCAATGCTGCTTTCTTCATCTGTGATCTGGGGAGAAAATTCTTGAGTAAACCATTCTAGGTTTGTTTAAGAATAACACAGATAATGTATGTAAGGGCTCACTGTAAGAGTTCAATAACATGAGACGTTGTTGCTATGACCTTACTTGATAAATCCTTTTATTAGGGTTTGTCATGAAATAATTCACACAACTAACATATCACTTTGTTGAAAGGTAGCAAATTCTTGGGTTTCCAGCTAATTTAATAATCAAAGGCTCATTTGATATTATTTGGGGTTAGTTTTGGATCTGTATTAATCTTAACAAAATATCAGCTGAACGATACCACTGTGAGCTGTTACAGTAAAGCTATATTGTGCTCATTCCTTCCTCAACAAAGTAGAACATTCTGAACTGGGATAACAGTCTACTGAAGTAGTTTGTTTATTTTGCATCAAATGATTGCTTTAGATGAGTTCCTTTCTTATGATGAATATCAGTACAACATAGCCAGGCTTCTTGCTATGACCTCACTGACCTGCTGTACTCCAACTGGTGATAGAACCAGTCTGTTGTCTGCCTCAGCAAAAGAGAAATTCTGTTCGGGCACTCTCCTAAATTTATTTACTGATGGCTTGAGAAAAATGTAAAAAGAAAGAAATTGTCATTGTGTAGGAAATTACTGAAGAGCACCCAATGAATGTGAGCAGATTACATTTGCCATTATCTAGAAAATAGGTTGTATTTTTAAAGAATCAAGCTTTAAGGCTGAAATAAATGATTTTGAATATTCTTATAAATATTCTAATAAAAAGTTAAAATGGCTAGACAATTTCTACCATAATTTTCTTCCTCCCCATGTTTTGGAAGATGTAATACTTTTCTGAGGATATCTCAGAATACCAGTTTTTTTTTTTCTGGCTGGCCAGTACAGGGATCTCAACCTATGACCTTTGTGTTATAAGGCTACTTTCTAACCAGCTGAGTTAACTAGCCAGCCCTCAAAATACCAGTTTTATATAGTGTTTGGTATTTTTTTTTTTTTGTCTTTTGTCTTTTTCCGTGTCCGGCAACAGATCGTAACCCTCAGTGTCGCCCCCGCACCGGACCGGGGACCGGCAACGGGATCGCAACCCTCGGTGTCGCCCCCGCGCCTCGCTCAGCCAGTGAGCGGGAACCGGTCTGTATGTGGGATCCGAACCCTCGGGCGGGAGTGCCGCCGCGCTTCCCAAGCGGCGCACTATCCAGTGCGCCACCGGGCTGGCCCATAGTGTTTGGTATTTTATAATTCTCCCTACAAAACAAGCAGTTTTAGGTGTGTGCTAAAATTTTTAACCCTTTCCCATTCAACCTCCCAGAAACTGAAAGGCAGATCGTGGAGAAATGCCATATTTACATATGAAATATTGTTGCAGAGCAAGGCATCCCTCCCAGGGGAGGAACAAAGAACTTATCTAGGGTCATTTTACCATCTTCTAAATATTTCCCAACTCTTAATTAGTGTGCATAAAGAGCTGTAATCAGGTATACATTTGTGTGTGAGTATGTTAATAATGATAAAAATCATTTCAGAAATTAGTGATTTTTATACTTTTTTGAGGTTTTTTTTTTTTTTTTTTTGGTGGCTGGCTGGTATAGGGATCTGAGCCCCTGACCTGGTGTTATAAGACTGTGCTCTAACCAACAAATGATTTTATTTCAAATACAGTTAAAAGACCATCCTTATGGGGCAGAATGACAAACAGAATAGTCATGTTGAGTGTTATCAATACAATTAGATAGAATAAATAATTTATACAACATAAGGTAACCAAACAATTGATGTGACTAAGCTTTATTTCCTGAACTTGCTGGTGATTTTGAAATTAAGGAGGAAATCACCAACTCTTCAAAAGGTTAGGTTGTATTTTTAGGATTTACTTCCCTAAATGAACTCTTCCCTGACTTCCACAGA